TTAACCCGGAACACCGGCGCATCTGCTTGCAGGTTGTTGGTTTTTTTACTCAAAGTACAATGAGAATAACTTTTATGACCACGAAACATGAGGCCCAGATACTGATGAGATGATGAGGTCAAAGAGCTTCAGGAAGAGTAGGCTGTTTGTGTAGCGCAGCTTGACGCAGGGCTGAGATGTGAGTGGAGCTGGGCCTGGATAAAGGTGGAGGTCTAAACAGACGTGAAGGGAGAGCAGGACAGCTTCCCGCTGTCACAGTATTTTAAATGCATTGATGAGGCAGGCTATGCTAAATGCAGCCTCTGCTCCAAGGAGATAAACTACAGCAACAAGGGCTCACATGCCCTCTCATCACACTGCCAGACACTTCACTGTAATGACCACAGCCAGTCTAATTCCAGTCCCAACAGTCCCATGTGCAGTTGTTCCCAAGGGCCCTGAAGTAATGAGAGAGGGTTAAGGTGCCTGTACCTTAATTTCAGCGGGTTGCTAATGCAGAGGTGTGTATAGATTACAGCTATTATTTTACTCTTGATAAACTACCTCAGCCAAAGTAGATTATCATTTTCATTTAAATAATTTAACTGGATTGAATGCATATTAATTGCAAATAGAAGATAGGCCACAATTCTAACAGCTTTACAGTATAAGTACAGTTTGCAGGAATGATGACAGTTCATGAGAGGATACAAAAAATTTTTATTTTTATTTTTAATTTCTTTTCACAGGTGGGCCAGGATTGGTAGATCCTTGTGAAAAGCGGCCTGTGGATACCCTCACTTCTATGGGGGAGCAACAGAGAGAGGACATCACCTCCAGTGCCCAAGTACAAGCTCTTCTAAGAGTTCTACATAAACTATCAAGCTCATCTTAGAAAGTTCTGAATAAGAGAAATAACTGTTAGGTCATGTGATGATGAATGATTCCACATGTCTGTTTCAGACAACAGCGCAGGCTTTTTAAGGTTCACATAAAATGAGTTTAGGGGATTTGTGAATCCTCTTTCATAGATCTGATGAGGTTTCCTGTGACTCATTGCTTTTTAAATAAATGTCCCCTCTGTATTTCCACAGTTTGCTCTGAGGCTCCTGGCGTTCCGTCAGATCCACAAGGTTCTGGGCATGGACCCCCTGCCGCAGGTCAACCCCCGCTTCAATGTCCGCAACAGCCGCAAGCGTCGCCGCGACAACAGCGAGGGGACGGACAGCTTCGAGGGCGAAGGCAAGAAGGACAAGAAGGACTACGACTAGAAGGACTTCTAAAGCTTCTGTTATCGTTTACTCTCACACAAAGATGTACTAACATGTTGTATGCGCCGTCTCCTGTGTGCTGGCTGAAGTCCAGTGTGGCTGTTTTTTTTCCTTTATAAGCTACAGATGTGTCGGTGTAACTGCAGCCTCACTCTGCTCTGTAATACACAAACTAAAATGTCAGGTTGTGTACTGTTTTAGTTGTAGATTTCTTCAAGTTTGGCTTCTCTAGATAACAGCGTTTTTTTAGCCCGATGGGCTTCTGGAGCAGAAGTGTCTGAGGAGCATTGCACCAGCAGTGCTGAATATGCACCTTCATTCATCTGTATAGTCACATTCGGAGGTTGACTGTGTTGTTATTAATGTGAAGCGTACATTTGGCAAGCTACATTTTTTTGTTCTTTTTCAATATGAATAACTATGCTTAATGCAAGTGATGTGTGATGCTGTGGTCTCGTTGCGTCTCAATGCTCGGCTACACGTAACCATAAAAAAAAGACCTGCGGCGGAGATTCAGAGGAACTTTAACTGTTGATAGATCTTTGTTAGTAGTGACGTTGTCTGCCCTAATGTGGTTTTGTCCTTTCAGT